TCTAGACTCTAGCTTGCAAAGTGGAGACGCGAGGATTACCGAGCTAAACCAGTCATGGTGGTGGTTAGGCTGGGATTCCCCTGACTCCGGCTTAGTCAAGGAGCCGACCCGGGTTGCAAAGGGTGCAACCGTGGTGGGAACTCAATGACACCGTGAAAGAACTTTCGGGACCAAGGAGGGCGACCCGTACCGCGCGGGTGTGGTCGGGGTGTCCGCTGTCTCAGTACCATCCTAAACCTGTGCCGCCCAGGTCCGGCAGCGGGTAGTGTGTGCGGTGTAGTGTAAATGCAAGGCATGCACAGCAGGTTATATCATACAGCGCTTCATGCATAAAATAAACCATACATCCAAATACCTCCCTGCAAAACAAGGGTTAACAATCACGCCTCCCCTTATACCTCCCATTCTGCAAAAACATTTAACACCTAAAATGTTAGGGACGTACCTGGGATCCTCGCTACCAAACAAAAATATTTTTTTTGAAAAGAAAAACTGGCCTAAGTCCACTAAGAGTTTTAACTCAAGTCCCTAGCGGAGTCGCCAAACTGTCGCGACCCTAAAAAAAAATTCCTCATTTTTCGGGCTAATGGATTATTAAGACTAATCTTAACTCGGGCCCTCCCAAGCCCTACCAATTCGCAACTTAGAGTTTAAGTTTTTAACATGCAAAAGTTTTTATGCTCGGAGTCGCCACTAATCAATTTATGGTAGGTTGATTAGAAACCTAAATAAAACATAGGGAGATATGTTTTATTCCAACGAACCAGAGATTCTAAGCCCGGGGACTTGATTACGCTAGATCTGGTCTAACGCCCTTTCGGTACCTTTTCTTTTCAAAAATGTTTTGGCAGGCAGTTTGGATCCATTTCAACTTAGTTACTAACATGTGAGGTGTTCATGCGAGTGCACAAACCACCAATTTAACACCCAGAAAGCATTAAATAAATTGCAAGTTTGGAAGAATTACTTACCTGGAAGCAACGTAAGCATCTGCATTGTTAGCTAGAAAATCACATTGACACCCTAATATGATTTCTAATTAACAAGCAATTCACTCAATTTCTTTTTTTGGATTTTCACTTATTTAAATGAAATCTAGCCTATATGCAATGACATGCGATTAATGCAACCTAGCATGCAAATTATATGTCATGCGACGACGTGACCTATTTCTAATGACAGGACGAATGATTATTTTTTGTATTTTCTCAATTTAAATCCGGAATAATAAAAATGCCTAAATTAACATGCAAACTATGATGACTTAATCTACCCTAGCATGATTTCTTTTTAGGATTTTTGTTAAAATTCGAAATAATGAATTACTTAAATTAAGAATACAATCTATCCTAATCTATCCTAAAACAATTCATTCTTCTTTTCTTGGGATTTTCATGGAAATTCGAAATAATAAAATAACCTGAATAATCTATTAAGATTAGAATATTACTTAATTTAAACTAGGAAATAAATCATCTCAAGTCCTAATTTAAATTAAATAACTACTCTATCTTCTAGATATATTTAGGATTCCTAGACATGCAAAAACTCTAATTCAAATCTAATTAATATTTTTTGAATTTTTCTGTTTATTTGAAAAAGGAAAGCAATTAAATAAACAAGGATAGCAACCACATTCAAAACGTCCACGCGATCCGCCATATTTGTTTCAAACTCGGATTAGGCACAAAAATCAAACTATCGGTCATATCTATAGGGTTATAGATATCGACGGAAAGCCGATTATTCAAATTTGGAAAGCGGATAAAAATCATTATCGTACCCAAGTGGTTATGGATAGGATAATAATTTTCCGTATCGCCGCGTATCGAACCTTAGGGATAAGGTCGGATAGTCGTCCAGATACGTTGCTAAATTAGGAAGTTTTCCTAATTTTGAATATTTAAAAATATTGCGGATATATCGAACATTATCCTAAGATATCTAAATATCCACATGATATTCACGAAATATTCAAACACCCATATTAGGAAATTAAATATTCTGAAAATATCGGATAATGTTGAATTACCTAATTTGCAGATAATTCCCAAATTCAAATCGACTCGGGATCGAGTTTGCGGATCGGGATCGGACTCGGACGACGGGCGACGCGGCGTCGGCGCGGCGGCTCACGGTGGTGTCCGGCGACGGGCGCGGTGTGGCGGCGCTCCGGTCAATCTGCAAAACAGAAATATTGGCCGCGACGGTGTAGGGGCGCCACTGCCACGAAAGCGACGGGGAACACCGGGATTGATTGGGGATGGCGTCAGGTGGTAAAGCAAGGACCGTTCGCGGGAGTTGCTGGTCTCAACGTTGTCACGGTGCCTTGGACTTGCGAATGGAACTTGATGATGGAGAGCGACGGATGCGTTCTTGATTTGCACTTGTCACGTTGCTCCCTCAAACTGAAATCTCCAATTGCCACCTTTTTCGTTGACTTTTCTTCTTTGGAATTCCTTGCTTCAGATCACGTGGCCATGAATTTCTTTGACTTCATGCTCCTGACCTTGGCCGACAGGTGGTGATAATGGAACAAAATCCACCCCTTGGACTCACGGCCTTCAACCTTCAGCTTGGATAAATCAGTTTCCCGATGATGCTTGCTGGTTGGAGACACGAGCGATTGGACTGGACGTAGCGGCGAGAGGTGGGCGTCGGACTCGAGGTTGCGGGGACAGCGGTGGGGCACGTCGGATGGCGGCGGCAACGATCAGCCCTCTCTCTCTCTCTCTCTCCCTCCTTGCTCTCGCTCTCGTGTGCCTCTCGTGCTCTCAAAAATCGTGCTCTGGAAATTATGAAAGCTCTCTCCTTTGAAATCTGACCTAAACATGTTGATATAATGCTAACCTAGGTCAATTAGATGGGCTCTATAGTCCTAATGGGCTTAGGCTTGGGCTTAGGTTTAATTTAATTTAAATGGGCTGATTTAACTTGGGCTTTTATTTAATTAAGCATAATGGGCTGAATTAAACTCAAATTAAAACAACCGAGCCCGTTTGACTTGTAATTCCCGGCCCTTGCATTCCAAGCGAGCCGAGTCCCATTCGATGAAATTTAAGCTCGTTCGTCACCGCCGGTCCGATGCAAAATGCAATTAATCTAAAATGAATTTAAACTATATGTTATGCAACCTAAATATTTTTGTTTAGGGGTTAAAAATTTAATCCCTAATTTTCTATACAAATTACGACTAAATGGTCGCTAAAATTTAGGAGTCAACATCGTGTTCGCTTCCTAATGGTCTTAAAGCGTCATTCACTAGTCCACCTTGCTAAAACTTTTGATCCTGTTTCTTTCTCAGGAGAGTTATTTTCCTAGTTTTCAACTAGAGAACTTGGACAAGAACAAGAGTATCTATGCGCAAATCGAGAAGATAGCTGAAAAGCACAATTGTATCCCTCCGCAACTCACGCATGCGTGGGTTCTTCATCAAGGCAACGATATTGTGCCTATCCCTGGTCAGCAGCTAAACTTTGTACCATCTTTTCAACTTGAAGCATCATGACATTAATTCAATGCCTCTTCTGCAGAATTCTCAGCTCATCAGCAGACACATTGCATTATAACAAGTTGAAAATGAGCGTCGTTTCTGCAGGAACAGCGAAGACAAAGAATCTGGACAAGAGCATCGGTTCCTTGAGATTGAAGCTCACGGAGAATGATTTGAAAGAAATCTCGGGTGTCATACCTATTGACAAGGTTTCTGGGAGTCGGAGAAACGAGCACTATACTTGCTACTCATGGACGAACGAAAACACACCCCTGAGAGACAGCAATTTTCCAGCTTAAGACTTGCTCTGTGTAGTTCGTGAGGCATTGTTTTGGCTCTCCTGCCTTTATGCCTGTACGTGACTGAGGCCAGAAAGGATCACAAAATAGCTTGAAAATAAAGCCTGGGAACTTTATGTGCATGCTTTGAATTAAGAATATGCGAGGAAACATGTACTATTTTCTGGAATAAGAAAATATTAGCACGTTGAAACATTGAGTTTGTTAAGAATTGACAGAAAAAGTGCATGTGTACTTTAATTGATGTGGGCCAAATAATCATCTGTCATGAAGTCGATGCATGCGCCAAAAGTTCGGAACACTGCACTTGCTCACTTGATCTAATAACTTTTTATCTACTTATGACTACTTTTCCTACCTTGGTTGCTAGATCAATGTGTTACCCAAATATAATGTCTTTCACATATAAAGTCTAGGTTATACATTAGGGAAACATTAAGAAGAGTAGCAACAAATAAATGGAATTAAAAAAATATTAATCATCTATTTGATGGGATAATAACACCATAAGAAGACTGCATGCGGTCCGTTCCATAAAATACCACCTTAATCGTATGCGCCTGGCTCGAGTGGAGGGGCCTAAACCTGAAGCTGTTTGCATTTGGTGGGATTAGAAAGTGAATTTATGTGGTAAGCTTCGTCTGCCCGCACGCACAAATTCATTCTTGAAGAATGAAGCCGTCCACGAATTGGAAAAGAAAGGCAAGACTTATGTAGGAGCAACCTGAGTTATCATGAACCCATTACTAGAAGAAATATGTTTTACATGACAACACAGTGGAAATGATAATTCCAGTCAATTAACAGTAAGCAATTGTGGTATGTGTTTTTCGGAGGCAAGCAGCTGCAGGGCTCGTGCCGTCGTCTGAAATTTTTTGGATGCAAGCAGTTGCAGGGCTTGTGCCTTCGTCCGGAAAACTTGTGCAGCTAGAGTTAGAAAAGGTCGTCAGAGGCATTCATATCGAGCTGTCACGCCACACAGCTAGAGAGAGTCCGCAACTTTGTCTAGGTACAGTTGAATGAATATTTGCCGTTGACATTTTGATTGCTGGCACGTTATTGTAACAGAGAAGAATAAACAGCGAACAAATGCTTCATGAGCACTAAAGAAGCCAATAACTTAGAATTTTTCGGTTTGGTTTTTATTTTCTGACTACAGTCACAAGGAGCAAAAGAGAGCAGAGAGCCAAACGATGCTTGTGATAGAATAATTTGAAGGTGAAACACTTGCAATTCACTCAACTTGACTCTAATCAAGAGAAGGAGACGAATAAGCCTTTTCTCTTTCTTTGTTTTTATTTCTCCTTATGAAATGATTAGAAGACTTGCTTTTATATAGGCTTGTTACATTATTCTTAATCTTAAATAACTAATATATGCATCTAGCATTTCAAGGAAATGGATTCCCTGAATTTACAAAATATTAAAATAGACATAGAAACATGAACAGTCAACATGCATGCATGCAGGACATTCATGAATTTAGTTTAATTACTAACAGCTTCATCAACACATTCAAAAGAAGTTCAATAAGCGGACGGTTTCCCATCTCTCAGGGGCGTGTTCGCGTATTTCCACAAGTAGCGGACATAGTGCTCATTGACCCTATCGCCGGCAATGTCATCAATCGGTACAGCATCTGAGATCTCTTTCACGTCTTCCTCCGTAAGCTTCACTCTCATTGAACCAATGTTATCATCAAGATTCTTAATTTTCGTCGTTCCTGTACATACCGCATGATTTCAAAACAGAAATCCCAATACATGTCATCTGTCAATGAATGTCATAAAAGTTCGATCCTCACCAGGGATGGGCACAACATCATCTCCTTGATGGAGAACCCACGTGAGTGCAAGCTGTATAGGGGTGCAATTGTGCTTTTTCGCTAACTTCTCCATTCGTGCGTAAAGAACCTTGTTTTTGTCCAAATTCCCTGCTTGAAACCTAGGAAAAATTCTCTGAGAAAAGAGTAGAAAAATTAGCGACGATTAGCGAAGAAGCTTTTAGACCATAGTGTATATGAATGTGAAACATCAAAGAAAGATGTGCCCAATTAACTATTAACATACCAGAAAACTATTAGCAGGCACAGTTTCTGTGACTCCCTTGCCACCGAAGAACCCACGACCAAGAGGGCTATACGGAACGATGCCGATTCCGAGCTCCCTGAAAATTTGGAGAGGCGGCCAAAAGATTAAAAAAGAAATATCGTACCAAGTGAATAGGCTGTTTTTTGGAGAACAACTTAGGAAAGAATTCGCTCCAACGGAGGTGAACAGCAATATACCTGCAGAGCGGCACGATTTCCTGCTCAATTTCGCGAGTCCAGAGCGACCACTCCATCTGTAAGGCCGTGATGGGATGAACTGCGTGCGCTCTCCGTATGGTGTCGGGGCTAGCCTCCGACAAGCCGATGTACTTCACTTTTCCCTCTTCCACCAACTTCTTCAGTTCCCCCATCTGTGGGTTTTTGAAACCGTTTGGTTTTATTAATTTCTGATCGCTAAAGCGGATCGGCTATTATCACAAACAGGAAGAGCAGCTAAACAAACTTACAGTTTCCTCTATCGGGACTGACGTGTCAATCCGATGCACGTAATAGAGATCAATATATTCGACCCCAAGGCGCTCGAGGCTCGACTCACAGCACAAGCGGACGTATTCAGGCGTCCCCTTGATCACGACATTGTCCGCTTCCATTTTCACCGCTCCGAATTTGGTGGCTAACTGTACCTCCTCCCGCGGCAACTTCTTCAATGCCTGCAATAATGATATCACAAAAGTGTTTCTAATAACCAAGTAAGTACAATGATCAGCTAAAAAACTAAGTTACCGGTTTTGGGTGTTTCGGTTTTTTCACATTACCTTTCCAACAAGAATCTCATTGATTTTGGGTCCATAGATATCCGACGTGTCGAAGAATGTTATCCCCTTGGCGAACGCGTCGGTGATGATCGATATGCCGACTTCCTCCGGGACAGGATCGTTGTAAAGACCCGTGAGTCCCATGCAGCCAAAACCCAACTTCGAAACCTGCGAGTATTTGAAAGCAACAGAAGAAGAAGAAGAAACGACCACTTATACATCTCGGCATGAAGCAGCTTAAATGAATCCGCAAGAATTTAATGAACCACAAATTTAACGAAGTAAGAAGTAGTTTCAATACAAACCTCAAGACCCTGAGTTCCGAGTTTCACTCGCGGAATCCGAACCCCGGCCATTTTTAGATGATATCTTCTTGTTGCTACTTGCTGTATTTTCTGGTCTCGTGATCATCAAACTTCGTGGATATATATAGGAGTTTAGGTGACGAGGATAAAGAAAGGAAAATTCAGATTATTATCGGTCAAAATGCGATTGACCATGACCCATCACGTAAGCAGACGTGTGTGGAGCTGCTGGATACTCTAAGGTTTGCATCACCCAGTATGTCACGACTCACGAGCACTGCGATTTGTTTTCCTCCTGTGCTGAAGATGCAGTCGTATCGGGGGCGATTTGCATCACCCAGTATGTCACGAGAACGTCCTACGGAGAACATCCTTTCGTCCCTTGATCTTAAAGGCTCTCCATCTTATTAGTGTGACGATTCTTTATCACCAAAAGAGGAAGGATGACAATTTTGGAAATTTTTAAATTTTTTTTCTTTTTCTCCCCTTTTTTTTCGTATTTCCCTCCGTCAGTCTGCAGCCCGCAGCCTCGGCATTGGCCAGTGGGGGCGTTGTGACTGGGCGAGGGTCGCTTGGTTCACAATAGAAAAAGAAAAGGAAAAAAGGAAAAAAGGAAAAAATAAAAGATTATTTAAAAATTGCAAAAATTGTCCATGTTAATGCTGACTGTGCCACGTAGGATGGCCGACATTCGCATCGGTGATTTCTAGATGGACTGCATTAGAAAATTGTCAAAAGAACTGACGAAATTAAAAAATTTAGGACTTTTTGAACAATTTTCCCCAACCATTGAGTAGGATACTAGGTGACTCTTGCTTTGCATTGTAAACCCATACATCAACAACAATCATTAGACCAATCAAACATGGGTCAGATCGGGTTTGGGTCGAGTCGAAAATGGTCCGACCCAAATAGACCAATTTAACCCGTTTTGACCCATTTTGCATGTAATGCAAATCTAATGACCCATACCCGACCCGACACATATTACTAAAACATTTCCATATTTAATTCATTTTAAGAAAACTCATGCCCAAACTGAGATGGGAGTGCAGAGTGAGTGAGCACGAGATTGAATAAGGATAAGAGAGATGAGTTGAGTTTAAATAAGGTGTAAATCCATTTATGGCCCATTTACGACCCATTTAACATTCACATTATGTTTTTACCCATTTATTTAATATAACAAATCCATTTATGACCCATTTAATAATAAATGGGTTAAGAAAGGGTTTATGACCCATTTTGACTGGTCTAACACTCATACACGTTACAATTGGATTTCTACTCAACAATAAGGTTTATTTAGTTTTTTTTTTTTTGGTAACCGAGGTGTCCGGGCTAGCTTGCGCGCACCTCGACTATTCCTCGGGGGAGACTAGCACAGCAACCCACTGCCATGGCCCCCCACTTAAATCACAAGTGCTCAGCTGAGGAATCGAACTTGGGACTAGTGCTCCTAACCACACAATCCCAAATACGCCATAACCAACTGAGCTACCCACGGGTGGGTAGGTTTATTTAGTTTATATTCACATTTAGCCAAAAAAAAATCTATAGTAGGTATCCTACTCAGCAGTTAGCACATCATACGCCATTTTCTTGGACTTCTATCTCATCTATAATGTGACTTGGCTATACTTGTTTCACGATATGTATCGGTGTGTGATGACGTCATAAAAAAGACTCGTGACATACTGGGTGATGCAAACCTTAAGAGTATCCAGCAGCCCGCGGGGGCTGTAGAGCCGTTGCGCATCTGCTTACGTTGATGGGTCATGGTCAAACCATCTCTTGTTCCAATAAATTTTCACCATATTGCAGCGATAAAGCCGTCTAGGATTAGGAAATCAAACTAATTAATAAGAAAAGTGTTTTTCACATGATATATTGCGTAAAAATGTTACGAGCTACCCTGGTTACCTGTTGAGTTATATATTTTAATAATTATGTATATCATGATGTTGAAAATAGTTTTGAAGAAAATTGTTCGCATGATCTGCTTATGTAAATTTAATTCAAAAGCAAACTTATATTAAGGGCGCGAATAACAACAATTCTCTTCCCTGGCCCTATTTTTGGCTAGAAATAGAAAATCTATTTCTCTTTCTCGGACGAGTTTCTGAGCAAAACGTAGCGTTTAATAATAACATATAATTTCTATTTCCGGAATAGAAATTCGTTTGATAGGTTATTCTTAAATTTCTGTTTCCAGTGGCGGGGGCGATGGCCGGCGGCGGTGGGCGGGCGATGGCGAACAGCGACAGCCGGGTGACGGCGAATTGCCGGTGAGTGGCGGCAGGTGACGGTTAACAGCCAACGAGGGGCAGGGGTGGCGGGTGGGCAGCGTTGAATGGCCGGTGAGCGGCGACGGACGGACGGCCGGCGAGCGCCGGGCAGCCGATGGGCAGCCAGCGGCGAGTTGTCAGCGGTGGACAACAAGGGTGAGCAATAAAATAGAGTTGTTGTTCTTGTTTCTGTTCTAGAAATAGAAAAGTATAAAATTTTAACTTCTCATTTCTATTCCAAATTTATTTCTGGGCCAAAATTTGTTCCAGAAATAAAAAAATTGAAATTATTTTATCAAACGAATTTCTGTTCCAAACCTATTTCCAGGAACAAAAAAATAGAAAAACAGGAAAACGTAATGATTATCAATCGCGCACAAATTCTTTGATTAAGAAGAGCGTCATCGATACAGTTCTTTCTAAGATTAAAAGGGAAATTAACCCTTTATAAAATGTTTAACAACCACTTCATAACTCCTCGTATACTGGCAGACCAAGGGATCTAGTGATGGTCCAGCTCTTCTAGTCCCAAAATATTTATATTGTATACTTGAATTCTTCTCTTTATATATTTTTTAAATGGTGTAATTAAAAGTTCAGTTGAAAAATTTGGTCCCATCTCGCCAGAACTAAACCTCTAGATTTGCAAGTTCAGTTGAATAATTTCTTCTTCCATAACTGTTATCCAAACTTCTTCTTTGGCAGCATCTTCATAGCATTCTGGTTCTAAGGCAATAAAATTGCAAGTTTCATAAACTCTTCTTAGAGATTTTACAGTGAGAATAGCAGATTCTGGAGTAGATTCTTCTTGTGCCGCTCTTGAAGAGGATGGTGACGTTACGTCAGAGGAATCTGAAGTTTCACCTTCTCCTGGTGTTGTTCACTCCTCACATATTGGTGCTATGTCTGGTAAGGTAACATACTTCTTCTCGATCTTCTCTTCCAAGACAATAAACTTAAAACCCGCAAATATTCATTATACCAAAAATGTCAACAGCAAATAAGATCAATACAATAAGGTGCATGCATGCATGCCTACGAGGGCTTTTTCTAACTCTAAATAAGCTTTTTCGTCATTAGAAAAGAACAATACAAATTGTTAGGGATATTAAGATTGATTTGCAAAATTAGCTTACTGAATGATGCGGGCCCCGTAACTTCTCATACAAATTGCCATCAGAAACTATTTATATGATTAATTTCTAGACTTATACCGAAAGAAAAGATCGACGTCATAAAAAAGCCTTGTGACGTACTAGGTGATGCAAAACCTAAGTACTGTGCCTATGATGGAGATCGCTCTCGAGCATCAGGTTAAGAAGTGGGTCAAGGTCAAAGGCCACTTGTCCTTTTCTTTACTGGGTCAAATAAACTTCCGTGTCTTGATTCAAATTCACCAAACCGCATGTTTAAGTTTAGGGTTAATATTACGAAAAACTCCAAACTAATACGCTTGTGACAAATTTAACTCAAACTAACTTTTCGATTTCCAAAAATCCAAAACTGGTATATATTATTGAGTTGGATGATACGTGACAGTTGATGGGTGTATTAGTTTGGGATTTTACCCTTTGTTTGTCATATATGGACCAGTTTGTAGCGTTTCATAGTATTAATCCAATTTAACATAAACTAACGGAGGGTAAATTTGTCGTGAATATACCAGTTAGGAGTTTTAATGGTCAGACAATTAGTTTGGGGTAACTTTGTCATAAGTATATAAGTTTGAGGCTTTTGGTGATCAAAATATTAGTTTGAGGTAAATTTATCATAGACGTATCCATTTCAGATTTTTCATGGTATTAATCCATAAGTTTAACATGGACTTGCATTCAACAGGGCTTAACTTAGGACCACAGATTATAGAAGACGTCTTAACAGATCAATTGTCACGTGGATGTATTGCTGCTGCAGCCGCAGCGGATTAGGAAACTAAGCTCAGTCCAGGATAAATTCTTAATCCACGTTTAAATGTTTGACCGTCATTAATCATATTTACTCGTTTCCCTCGAGCCTTGATCCCCTCAAACTCCTACATATGTATGGATGGAATTTGATGGGAATGAGACCAGAAAAACAAGTTAGTAGCAACCGCAAGAGCATCCGAGAATGGCCGATGATCAACATTGGATTCCCCGAGTGAAACTCGGAGCTCGGGGTCTTGATGTCTACATTAAGAAAACACAATCGTTTGTTCGTTTGGGGATGATTTTTGTAGATTCATTTGATGGCTTACAATTGCAGCTTCTTGCTCAAATATATGAAGATCTTCTTTTTGTTTTTGAATGATTGCAGGTTTCCAAGTTGGGTTTTGGCTGCACGGGACTAAGAGGAGTTTACAATGATCCGGTCCTGAGGAAGTTGGCGTATCGATCATTGTCGACGCGCTTGCCAAGGGCATAATGTTCTTTGATACATCCGACGTAGATGGACCCAAAGTTAATGATATTCTAGCCGCGAAGGTAGTGCACAAAATCGGAATATTGAAATCCTTTAGCCGAGTTATGAATAATGAAGCAGAAGAGAGAATTGTGAAAATTTCAATATATTGGGATATATCATAATGTAAGATTACATTAACCTACTTTTAGGATTTATGATATAACTATATGAGGTAACATATATCAATCAAGACATACACAATCAAAGGGAGATATACGTGCAACCGTGAGAGTTACACAGAAACAACAAAATTATCTAACCTAGGAAATTATCTTAGAGAAATCCATAATTATCTTTAACATCGAAACAGTTCCATGAAATCTTTTTCTCAACGAAATCAAAGGTCAATGGATCCGAGCAGGGGCGGCG